AAGGATGAGGTTGTATCCAATTTTGACACGGAAGTGTAGGCTGATTTTGAAGGACTGAGGTTGCATGATCCATGCAAAAGGTCTTATACAATCAGATTTTACAAATGCTGACCGCTGGTGGTCAGTACATGTACATGTACTTCAACTTGTTGGAGATTTGTGAAAAATATCTTATCACACCGTCACTTTTTAAAACTCTGAGACAATTATGTTACCAAGCAATATTTGCTACAACACTCAGCCAGAGCCTAAAGCCCATGGGTACTTGAGGGCCTCACTCACATTCAACATCCATGGACCACATGTAGCCTACAGTACACGTTTATGTAGTTTGAGCGTGTGTGTACAAACTCAATGGGTATCAGTTTACAGCAAGGTGATGAGTATATATTGCAGTCCTTACATGTATATTGAGGCCACACAACACAGCAGGCTCCATAATTGCAGGTCCCTGAACCATCAATAGCAGTGCACAGATTGTCTATTGAAATTTCTATTCAGTGAAACACCGCTATAAACAACACTGCTATACCAAACATTCGGGGACACTGAACATCACCCTTGGCTCCCGGATTTTCTGTGAACTTTTACCGAACATTAAAAATTTTTTTACAATAAAAGAAACATATTTTGAACTGATGATAACAACTTAGAGTTGAGAAAAATTGCTCTCACGATGGAACAACGGCCAACACATGGCACAGTCTGTATCGTTCGTAGGTAGCCTACAGTACGTGCACATTGCATGCAGTCTGTGTCTGTCTACAAGTGGCCATGTCCAGTAAACCATCTATCGAGTACATGTACATCATGCAACCTTCAGACACTGGTGACTGGTGACCCTGTGCAGGAAAACTCGCTACAAAGCCACAAGACTTAACCTAAAAAATAACCAAAACAGAAAATGACATACGCAGCAGACCATGACATCTCTTACTTAACTTGCAGATATTTTTCAATAAATATCTTGCTATTTCAATCATTTCAAAAATGCTTTCAAAAATGGTCCATTAATCAAAGTGCCATTTTACCAACAGGAACAAATGTAACCGTACATGTGGCATATGATTTTAGGCGATGCCTCAAGGAAAACATGATTTCATTTTGCAATTCTACTTTCATTGAGGACTACCCGAAAGCTGAAACGTGACAGGAGATGAACATTCATTTAACAAGATGCCAGAATTTAAATGTTCTGTTTTTAACTTTACTT